GACAGGTGTACTCGTAGGAATTCGATACGATGCTGGTTGGTTCTTGTTCCGGAAGATTCAAAACGAGTGCACATTTAAATTTGATTCAAATCCAATTCAACTTACTCGAATTTCTTTACTGCCGACTAAATCTTAATAATGAAGACATAGGAACGTCAAAACATAGATGTCGGCGTAGGTGGCAGAATATTGTATTATAATAAAGTAACATACAGAAAAATTGAGATCTAAGACAAAAACACGACAAATCTTGACAAAATGTAAATAAGGTAAAATAATAAATATGTAATAATAAAAGTAAATATCGTAAAAGCATGTCCCCCACAGATACTTGATAGTTGCTCTCTTAAAAGCTAGCACATTGGGTACACTTTTAATGTTGTCTGGTAGCGTGTTATATGTTATATGCTACCTTTTCTCCTAGTTCAATGATAATTTCATCTGCGTAGTGATGATAGTTGAAGTTAAATGAGTCTGAATGTTTCCTGATGAAGGTGTATCATATTTTGCAGTACTTTTCTACATATTCGTCTGGCACAAAGCTGATTTTGAGGCCTAGTGCTAAGGCAGACACTTTTTTATCTTGTTTATCTCTGGATAAAGATAACCTGCGATTCCTGGTGACAAGGAGTTAGAACTCAAGGCGATACTCAACTTCGCCTGTTCTTCATTTCGAAGATACAGCTAAATAAAATGTTCGCAAATGATATCTATTGCAAACATGGACAAAGTGATTACCTCCAGCAAGAATGGCAATCTCCGATCTTATCGTCACAGACTGTCCTCACTTCACGCATTTTCGAACTAGCTGTAGCTTTCTTATAAAAACTTGTTAATTTTTAGCAGAATCATACGGAAACCGTTGGATAGGTCGAGCAGGACTTCATTTATGGTCTGCTATATCGGAATTATTCTTCGGACCCTATGTTATAATTTTACACTACTCCAGTGTTTTCGACAGAATATGCGAGGTGACGCGGAGTCATGCACTCTAGCTGGAAGGTATTGAATAGTTTTTTAGAATAATGTTGTCTTTTATCTTGGTATTATTATTCCTAGTTTCAATATTAACCTAAAACTGTTCTTCGGCCCCCTGCTCATCTTTTTGTCCTACTTCGATTTTTAAAAACATTTTTGTATCCATCTATAGCAAATTTGATTGTTAAATGAGACGTATAGCATTGGGGCCTTCTTTTTAAAATCTTCAATATGGATTGCTACTTCCTATTTTGGAAATGCCCGTCCTGATTCTGGAATCGGTTCTTGAATTCATAAAATATACGACATTTCTACTGCTTTGTTTTGCACGATTAGGCAGTAGCGGTGGCCGCAGTGGTAGGCGCTTCGTCTCCTGATCAGTCGCCGTGCGCTGCGAGGGTTCGAATCCCGTCCCAAGAGAAATTTTTCTCTTAGCTATGGATGTTGTGATAGTCAGTAGGTGGTAGACGGTCTCTGACTGTCGTATGTGGAGGTACCACCCGGCGGATCTTGTAGGCGGTGTGCCCTCGCTAGAGTCCCTGTGGCGTCCCCCCTTTTCCCCTGTATCCCCTTATAGCCTCACGATACCGTATGGTTGTTTAGGGCTAATCCTTCGTGGTAGCTGGAGAATAAAAAAAAGATGGCACGAAGCACTAAACTACATGTTTAATGGCAAAAAATGTTGTTTATAATTAGCAAATTTGTACGAATATAATATCATAAATTTGTTTAATTTCTGCGAGGAACCGCGACCTAATGGCCCATTTTCAAGAATTAAATTTTTGAAGGTTTCACTAGTCACCTACCACAAGTATGACTCGAAATATTTCAACATACTCGGAGCGAAGATGGTAAAACTGTGTTACCAAATACCTTCTACAGTGCTTTATGAATGAAATTGTGACGAAACTATTAGCACAAGCTACTTTTATTAGAAATAGTACACAAAGGAAACCGCACATTTGACCATGTCATGGCATGATTAGATAAGCTTATATTCAATGTTTTCCACAGGAATTTGCTTTGTCATCAAGAGGTGAATTAAAGTTTTTGATTTTGGGGATCTCGGTATTTCGCTGTCATCAGAACGTAAGCTTTTGTTTCAATTTCGATGATCAAACATTAATTTGTTTCCCTTCTTTATAGCGTGCAAATTATGTTTCCTTCCCATGGCGCTGTTGGGTTTTGAATTCTAGTAATGGCGCAAAAAACGAATGAATTTAAATTAATAGATAACATCTTAATACATCAACAGATGAAGCATTTTGTTTTATTTTTTAAATTGACTGCGTTGTGCATACATTTTGTATTTTACAGAATAAAAAAGGAAAGCATTTTTTTCAAGACAATATTTATATTAATCTTAAAGCTCATAAATATTTTTTTATTATTCCGAAGCACTATTGTAAGGAGCTTTAAGAAACTTCGTTAATCCGATTTTTGAACTGCCTAAGGTTAGTAGAACTGGGAAACGCTTCCTCAGGTACTTTGTCTGACCTCTTTTCCACAGACATCTTTCATACTACACTTTAAAAAACTACAATTGCGAAATGGATCGCCATCATCAAAATACACCCTATGCATATCTGGCAAGCGACAACATAACACTGATAAAGTATTCAGTTACTATATAAAGTTACACCCAGCTATACATACCTATATTAATCGGATCCAAGTTATCTATAACAAAAATATAACTGGCTGTCTTATGGACTATCTGAAAAAATCCCAAGATTTGGATCTTTTGTGACCGTGATCTTTGAAAATAAAAAGTTGCGTCAAGTAGGTTGAAAAATGCAATGGATCAAATTAGTCAAACAAGCCCTTACAATTAGTTCATAGTCCCCACACATTACCGAACATCTGCCAACATTGCAGTAACTAACCTCGGCACTCTCTAATCCAGCACGGCGTTGCAGATTCCCATCGCATCTTTCAACCTTCAGAGCAAGTATATGTACGTTCGCGTGACGCGTGTATTGAAAGTATTTCTCTCTTATTAGTCAAGTTTAAAGACCAAATATACATGGAAATTATTGTGTTTGAAATACATACACATATGTCTAATAGGAGCGTGGAATTACCGGAGTTGGAGGCGTATAAATATACCAATGCCAACAAATTGAGATATACCCTTCCACCCCCTACAACATCAAACCCCACATTTTTAACACAAACAATTTTTTTTCTGGAAATGGAAATGAGCCCCTGAAACGTGAAATATCAAAGTCTGAGCGATTTTTTTTCCATTTGCTACCATTAGCTCCTCTGCCACTGGATCGATTTGCGAAAACTAAAAAGCAATTCATCAAAATGCGAGCGGGGCTAGAATTAGCGGACAGACCGATAGACAGACAGACAGACAGACTGACAGAAATGAGAGACAAGGTTTTTCGTATTGTACATATCACATACCATCCAAAAACATCTCAATTTCCAAATATTTTGAGATTACAATATTTCCCCGCCGGTGTGGTGTAGGTTTCTCGCTGAACGCATCGTTGAAGTCTCCTCTGTAAATATTATAATCGCCTAAGAAAAACATCTCGCCAAGTATGTTTGGGGGATCTTTACCCCTTAAGCCAATGGGATTCAGGGAATAGCAATGCTGGAGTGATTTATGTCAATTCATATCAATGTTAATGGATTAGGGATTGCACTGCGGTTCCTTGAATGCGCATGTCAATTCAGTATAAAAACATATTTTTTCGAAAAAGAATCATATGTCTGCTGCCTTCTACGCAATTTCTTGCATAGATGTTGTCACTGAAATACATTTTCAAAAATCCGTTTTGAGTTTTTGGAAATGAAAATTTTTGCGTGAACTCGTCTTGAATTTGACAGCTCCTTTAAGTAAAAACTATCCATCTCACAAAGAAAGATCATCACTTAAATTGTAGGAGCTTTTATTTAGTTCGATTCATCATAGAGCTGCTTTCCCTCAGAAAGACTCGGGAGCAGGTACCATAAAAACTTGGCTTAACTCCTTTTAAGCGCTATTTTTCTAGTAAGGCAGCGCATTCTGCAACATATCTATATACGAGATAGCGTAGTGACAAAATTCGTCGATATCTATGAGATACGCCAAGTAAAAAGTCACCCACAACGTTTAATAACCCGTTTTGAGCACCAAATTATTTGACTATAATGCTTCACAATTAAGAATAGGCATGCCTACATGTTTAGAAAAATATATAAAACGGCCAGACACAACTTTCTAGATTCCATTAAAGTTATCAAGTTGATTCGTGATTTGATTATATCACAAGTTATAATTAAAAGTGGAATCAGAAAAGCTACTTTCTTTAAAATCTGTCTCATCCGCCATTTGTATGCAGACATAAGTAGTGCATTTGCCAGATCGAAGAACATGCAATTATTTTTTATGTGGGATATGCAAGGCTCTGTATTATAGTTCGATGAAAATAACACATTTGAACCTGATATGGTTATTATTCAAATGAGGATTGAGATTGCTATACAACGTAAGTTATAATCAGCCACATTTTTTCAAGTCAGCCATTATTCTTCAAGGATGGATCACTGAGGAATAGAAGCGGAAGTATATCCTTATGTCTTTATCGTAACACATGGTGATAGAACCAAAATGTACGAGTAGCAAGATCTTGTAAGATATATATTAGTTTTACCCAAACCGTCATTTATATTAGGAACAAATTATTTCTCTTCACCAACAAGTGATGCTCAAACTAGAACTCAACTAGAACCCTTCCAGATTTATATTTTTTTCAAAAGGTAAGTAGTACCTATACTTGGAAGTGGAAAAATTGTGTTGCTACTACTTACAGCAGTCATGTTGAATTTCGCAAAAAATGCTTCCCACTACGCCGTTTTTGCAATTAACGTGCTTCACGAGTTCACGAGAGTAATATGAAAAAAAAACTAAACTGGGTTTTGGCTTCAAAACTATAACATACTAAGCAGCCCCAAAGGAACCTTGAAGAGTCATCCAAATAATGAACGAATGTTGAAATTAATAAAAAAATATATTCAATACTCACATGCTAGCAACATTAGAAGTGCTGTCGCTGTGATGTTTCCAGGCGATCTCCTCCAGCATCCAGTAACCCCAGTGCAGAAGGCAGCAAAAATAGATATGAAGGATATGATGAACAGCGCAATCATTGAGCGGCCCATATCTGTTAGTAACAAGGTTCATCAGTACTTGAATTTTGAACCATAGTTGTGTAAACTACTCACTACTGATTTGCTATTAAAAAAAACCAACATTCTCTCGTTGTTTGGTTTTGCTTAATGAAAGAAGTCATGGTGGACTGTTTTAGCATTTAGTAGCGTTTTGCAGATAACTTAGCTTCACCTTTACTGATTCTATAAATGCTGTGCATGACACTATTGACAAAATCGAATCTCATCATAATCTAGAGGAATGAAAGGTAATATTCCAAATATGTGTATTACATCTAGTTATGATGCATCAGTTACACTCCAAATTATTATACAACTTACGAAAATGATCGCTGATAGTGTGTTGAATATATAAGTGGCCAATTTATTTAAAAGGTATGCTATTAAACACTTCTATGACTAATTTTTCCTAGTTAATTCAGTTCAAAGTAATGTTGGTCGATACCACTTGGTATTGGATATCTTCAGACTAATCTGAATAGATACATACATATATCTGAAAGCATTAGTAAGAATTTTTTATCGAAGCAATCAGTTCTAATAAGCCAAAAATACAGTTACAGGGACATATTTGGGCACGAAAGAATGAGTTATGGCAACAACAAATAGCGCATACGTAAGCTTTAATGATGACATTTCTTATAAGAAGACAATGGATTACATCTTATGGATAACTGCCACGTATATTTGTGAAAACTAAATTAATTTTAATTCCTTAGTCATGTTTCATATGCGTCAATTTTCACTTGTTTCCTAGTTGAGTCTCTTAGTGAATTTGGAAATTATTGAGCAGGAGACAAATCATTTAATAATGATCATCGGAAGTTATTGAGGTAATTACGGACAGGTCGAATCACTAATTAGGTAAGTCTTGAAGTGTTAATGCTTGTATCGAATTTTATCCACATGACATTTAAAAAAATTCTATGCAATTTTTGCTCGTTCGAAATAACTCTAACATCGGTTAACAATTCTTCGCGAAAATGATATTTGATTGGTACTGGCTTACAGTACAGACCAGATATTTCAAGCTCACTGGCTGCTATTTTAGCAGCAGTAATGATCAACATGAGGGATTTTTTATAATTTGTTCTTAGGGTCACTTGAAAAACAAGCAACAGTCAATAGTTTTGGGTGCATTGTCAGATAACATCACTCACAAATACCAGATAATTTGTTTTACTCGTAAATACTATAGACTGGCAAACGTTCTGGGTATTTGAAGGAATGAGGTGAGTTCAGGATTGTGTTCGATTGCGGTAGTATTGACATTTATTTTTTTATCAAATTATGATAAATTGCATTAACTTTCTCAAACTAAAAAAAAAATTTTGCCACAAATATTAACATCTGTAAGAGTCATGTTATGGTACTTACGTAGCCTTGTCCATGCATCATCTGTAAACTCTTTGGTGTCATTGTTCTCATCAGGAATATAGTAGTTGATGTTGTTGCAGTGCGTCTCTAGTGGACTCAGGTACGTTTTCACTGAAACCAGAAGTACAGGTTAATGCAATATGCAGCGCAATAAGCGTTCAGGGTCAATCGTTTATTAATCTGGTTAAAATAGAAGAAGCTTCGGAATTCTGTAATGATGTCGCAAGAAAGTTTCATAAGGACATCTCTTGCACAGGGATACTACTCCTAAAATAAAAGATCAATACCTAAAATAAAAATCCAATAAATTGGACATTTTTTCGCTAAACACAAATCTTTTATTATAATTTTGACAGAAAAATCCTATATTTCAATAGAATAATATGAATGAATCTCTTGAAGCGTCTGGATTTGTTAAATTACATAATTTAGTCTTTTCTCAAGTTGTTAAATTACTGTTAATTGCTTGACCGATTCTACACTTTAAATATTCATTTGTCTATCTGTCACTATAACATGATGACCTTACTATTTTTTTGCTGAATAAATGATGTTCTCTTAATATATGAAGAGTATCTTGCAGAAATATGTACTTTAAACCGGGAATTAATACAGTAGCTATTAAATGAATATAGTTAATTCATCATAAATACGTATGAAAACGAATAATGAATGTATGTTAAAGCCTAAGATAAAACTATCATTGAACGAGTAATGTGAGTTTTACGAAATAAGAACATCTGCAACTATAAGAGGAAGAATCACGTCAAGGAAGAAAAATAAGATCGAAATTTAAGAAACACCAATATGTTAATAATCACATTGTTAATTAAGTAAGCTCATATTTTCCGCTAGAAACTCGGAAATTCGGAAATTCCCGATTCTCTTTCGCTAAATGGGACTAGATTCCAATAAATCTAGTGAAAAATCCACTAAGTAGGCAATACTGCATTCGGTTCGAGAGATATATTGTAATATATACAAATATTTTGCATTAACTGACCTTTATCAGAAAAACTAGGTTTGTTGGGTAACCTTGAACAAACAAAGTGTTTAGTCTGATAATAACTGGCTTTTAATTTTTTCCACTCTATCTCTAAGTGTTTATTCCTATTTGACAAAACTAATTAACAGTTAGATAGATGCAAAGTCTAATTATGTCATTAGAACTAAATGAGGCATGAGGCTTTCATTGCACATTGATATACATGGTGATTCTGAATACAGTAACAATATTTCTAGAGTAAAAGGTACATTGAAAAATGACACGGATAGATCTTTTGAACTTGGGTTCTTGCAGAGGTAATGGGTGTCGAAATTGCATCTATCTACGAATCGAAAAAACATATATTAAAGTATAATAAGCACAGTGAGGTTATTCGATTTCCAATATGGCCATCGACGCAAGAAGGCGATTTATAATTTTCACCCCTATACTGCAGGTATCAAATGAAAGGACTGGATGAGCAAAAGGTAATAACCATCGCTATTATATGGGTATCAAATGAAAGAACTTGATGACAGAAACACAATAAGCCACAAAGTATCGATTTATCATCTTATAATTTGCGTCTATCTATCTCAAATCGTATAAAAATTACCAAACTTGTTATTTGATATCACGAATACTAAAAAGGGAAAAATAAAAAACACAAACAATCTTTTACCTAGCTAATAATAAAACCAATTGAAAAATTAAAAATATTTTTCCCGATTGGAGATATTTAAACATTAATCTCAAATTATTTTCGAATAAAAGCGTGTTACATTTTCACAGCAGGATGTAACAATGGTGGCTTTGATTTGGAAATTTATTGTTCAAATATTTCCAATTGGAAAAGAGTGTTTATAATTTTTAGTTTGTTTTATTATCAGCTAAATAACAGCTTGTTTTTAAAAATGAATATTTTTATTTTATATCTTAATATTTGTCCGAATATCAAATGATGAAATTAGTCATACATAACAACTCGAAAAGAAATATACCTTGCCAACAAGCATCTCATTTAATACTTAACATTTATCAGAGGTAGGTTGTGATGAATGAAAACAATTTTTCCAGTATTTGTTGATAGCAATTGTTTCCGCTTCTCCTCATCATAAGCCATACATGCTTCTGAGAAAACCTTTCACTACATACATTGCTGCCGGACAATGATAATTTTTTTCAAATCCTGTCATTTTTGGATACTGTTGTACGTTTTGTGACTACCATATATAAGGGTCTGCTGTCTGATCTAGGCGAGCCATTTGCAACGGCACTTTCCTTTTCCATATCCCTAACCCTGTTTATATTTTCTGTAGAACTTCCTTAGCACAAATCTAAAAACCGTGATTTTCAACATTTTTATCAAGATATTTCTTTTCTTATGAGGTAAACTATAGAGCAATCAGACAGGTCGTAACATCTCACTCGCGAAATGCTTAATTACAAACGAAGATCAGCGCCCAATATTCGGCGCATGGGCTAATAGCGAGGCCGTTTATTCTGTTTAAGCATTTAAGCTGTTTAAGCATTTCAACTAAACGATATTTCTTATTGTTAGCAAAATATAGTGTTGTCTAGACGTCTAGAGCATACAAAAGATATTGTGATTCTACTAGTTTACCTGTTTTCACTTCTAACATTAATATCTACTCGTAGTTGATTTGATACTTATTCTTGTGATATATAAACTACGTAATTGAGCAGTTATAAAGAACTGAGCTTTATCTCTTCTTATTTACCTGCTCGGCAGATATTCTTCAAGCCTGCTGATTAACACAAATATCAAAAAAGTATTATCGATGTAAATCTATATACAGTAATCGACAAAAGTAAATAGACAAATTAATATTGTGCTGTATTTCTTTTTTAACTTGTTTTATTAATACACCAACCTGTATATATAATTCGTTATAGCATATTACTCACTTATACATAAATAAATTCATTAGACTCCCTTCAATAAAAAATTAATTGAAAAAACTGGAACTATGAAGGACAAAAATATATAGACAAAGCAAAACAATTATAGAAAAAAGAAGCAAAGTTCATTGAATTATTGAAAACCAACCATGTTTGTATTAACATTTTGTAGCATAACCATTATTGTCAATCACCGCCTGACATCGTCTCGGCATAGATTGTAGAAGTTTCTTGATATAAGATTCATCAATCTGTCTCCACTTTTGCTCTAAAGCGGCAAAAAGTTCATCCTTGTTTGAACAATTTTTATCTCGTATTTACTTATCTGAGTATTCCCATAGACTTTCAATGGGGTTTATATCGGAAGACTGTGAAGGCCATTTGAGAACTGGTATTTTTTCATCCCGAAAGAATTTCTTTGCGAGATTTGAAGTGTGCTTAGGGTCATTATCTTGGTGGAAGATTGATCTTAAGGACATATTGTCTTCCATATAGGGTAACATGACATGCTTTAGTATGTCTGCGTATACAAACTTATCCATAATGCCATCTATTTTATGTAAAGGTCCCATCCCAAACCCCGAAAAGCACCCTCAAACCATAACAGACCCGCCTACATGTTTGACAGTCGGCAAAGTGTACTTGGGGTTCAATCTTTGTCCACTAGGACGTCTAACGTAATGAACACCATCTGATCCAAACATATTGATATTGGATTCGTCACTGAAACATATCCTCTTAAAGTCACAGATGCTCCAATCAAGATGCAACCGTGCAAATTGTAATCGGTCCTTACGGTTTGTCCTCGAGATTAGCGGCTTCTTACTCGGGCGACGAGCAAATAACTTCAAATCATTTAATCTTCTACTTATAGTTTTCGTAGAAACACTGACACTTCCTTTTGTCTCGATTTCGCCTTTTATATGTCTTGGGGTTTAAAATGGATCTTTGGACGAAATTACCTTTATTAATCTAACTGATCTAGCATTAGTTTTCTAGGCCGACCACGTCTCTTAGAGGCTTCCAAGATACCTTTTTGTTTATATTTGTTCAATATTGCTCAAACTGCTTTAGGCTTCAGCTTCAAAATTTTGGCAATATCGACTTGACGTTGACCATCTTTGTATAACTCAATGATCTTAGTTTTCACATCGAAAGAAATTTCTGGACCACGCGGTATGGTCTTAAAACCACTTATTCGACAATACTTGATGAACACAAACTAATCCTCTTCTGACACGAAACTGTACTAAACTAATTTTGAAAAGAATTTGTCTACATATTTTTGTCCCTCATAAAAAAGTGCTTATATTCAGACTTGTATTGTGTTCATTGCAGATAATGTAAAAACAAGAAATTTAGTTTTTCTACTAATAACGCATTTGTTTATGGAGCAATGAAGTATGAATTCGTTTTCTAAAGGTATTTAGGTAAATATTCATATCTGTCTATATACTTTTGTCCATTACTGTAAATCTTAAATCAATAGATTTATGTATTGAATCCAATTCAATTCAATTGACTTTATTGTAACAAATACATACAGTATAGTTACAAATGATGCAATCTGGCCATTGGCCATGCGTACTTAACCATGTCATATGCTTATCACTACCTTAACATAAAGCCTAAGCCTAAAGAAAAATAGTTTGGTAACAAAAAACATTGTAATTTGAAAGCAGAGGGGCTAGACTGGAGAGAAGAAAAACTAATTAACCTCTTTTTAATGGAAAAGGTCAAATGAATTATTTCATCTTCATCCAAATATACATGAACCTATTTATTTTTTTATTTCTAGGGCCGAGGCTTCAGTCCGTTACTGAAAGGGTTACAGATGCTCTAAGTAACTTGAGTATGAACACTGAAATGTGGCTGTGAGCCCTATTTGCACTATATGGATTGCTTACAATACATTTTCAGACATTACTATGCATGCAACAGATCAGCGAGAAGTTATCTTATGCTGATTCAATGTCTGATGCAACATTATATTACCAACTGCTTAGTTATTAACGTATACTAATTTTGGAAAAAAGTCGAGGTTATTCAATCGCCACTGCATGTATTTTTGGATATATATATATATATATATATATATATATATATATATATATACATATACAGGGTTTGTCCGGAAAGTAATAGTACTCATTTTCTTCCGGCGAGTGGAAGTGTGCCAAGAAAATTTGAACATGTGTGAAAG